GGGGGGTGGGGGGGGGGGGGGGGGGGGGGGAGTGTGGGTCCCCCCCCCGCGCGGCCGGGGGGGCCCCCCCCCCCCCCCCCCCCCCCCCCCCCCCCGCCAGCCCAGCTGGTGCTCTGGTCAGTGCCCAGTGCTGACTGCTTGCTGTCTCCCATTAGGAAGCCTGGAGGAGAGAGGCCTCCTGGTGTGGAATCAAATCCAGGAGGAGTCTGAGGAGACTACGAAGGCCTTGGAGGTGTACCGCCTCCCCTGCGGGATTGGCACCAAGTCCTGCACATCCGCCTGCACCCAGTACCTCCCCTTCTGGCCCAGGCTGGAAGCTGGGAAAGGTGAGCGTGGAATGAACCTGCTCGCCTGCCTCTTCCAGGATCCCTCAGGAGAGCGCCCGAAGGGTGCCACGGAAACCAAGTTATGAGAAGAACTGTCCTCACGCCTGCCCCAGAGCGCTCTTCACCAGCCCCCTGCCCACCCCATGAGCTCATCTCCCCGTGCAAAGATGGGTGGGCACCCTGCAGCGGTCGCAGCCAAATTCGTATTCGATTAAGACCATGACAAAGGTGCTTTGACACAGTGACTTAAACACCACAACCTTCCACTGCACTCCAGCGAAAACCAGTCTCCTATCTCCAGCGTAAGCCAGTGTAACCCAGTGTCCGCACAGAGACTCTCTCAGTCCATATGTTCTCAGCCATAATTTGATGCGTTGGGAGGAAGAGGCCTGGGGTGTGGCAGGGGACGGAGACGGGGCTGTTGGCTGAAAGGCGAGCCCCTCTTGTCCTCCCCTCCGTGCACCTGCCCCTCAGGGCTGGCTCTTCGGAAGAGGTGAGGAGCACCCTCTGCTCCCCCAGCGCCTGCTCTGAGCTCCTGGTGCTCCGGCCCGCGGCCGGCTCGGGCGCTTTGTGATGGATTGTTCTTTAATCACACGTTCTTGGAATCAAGTGCACGGACTCTGGCTTAGGCTTTGGCTTGCTCACATAGGCTGCCAAGGGATTGGAACTCACTCCACTTAATGGCCTCCTTGTTTCCTTATTGCCAGACCGCCTCATGAACTCCTGCCTGAGTTTCCAGCTGGTTGGTCTGCCCTGCAAATTTCAGATTTGCAGTCTCCACTGTTAATACTTAAACCTATACCTACACCCGTTCCCATACCCACACCTATCCTCTTGGGGCTGTTCCTCTGACGGATACAGCACTGGCTAATATGGGAAGATATCGTTAGTCAAGACACAGGAAGATACCTGACCAATGTGGGAAGAGGCCTAGGTCGGGAGAACGGGAGGGCAAGCCCCATCGGAGGGGATTTTAAAGCAACACATCCATCCTGGGCTGCACCATATCCAGTGAGCAGAGGGGAGCAGAGGGCCGTTGGGGCTGAGTGGAGGCGGGAAGGCTCCTAGCACATGGCTGTGGGGAGAAAGAACAGCATTCCCCTGAGGTCCATGCTGACCAGGACCCCACTGGCCCATAATGCTCCAGGAATGAGGACTGAACGGGAGTGCGTGGGGGCTGGTTAGAGCCGGCACTCGTTCCTTGAGGACCTGCTGTGTGCAGGCACCTCTGTAAAAACTTTTCCTTTCCCACATGCTGGCCTGTTCTTGACCGGGGGGACTGGCTGGGGGTGGTCGTGAGCACTGAGCGCCTGGGCGCTGGGGACATGCGTGCTCCCCTTTCCTTCCTTCCCAGCACACGTGTGGGCAACCCCGAGGATAAAGGCCCGGCCTGCCCCTCCTCTGGGTTGTTTATGAAAAGCTACAGTCCTTGCATATCTGCCATGGGAGTCCCTGGGGGTGGGCTGGTGACAGGACGTGAGGTGAGGTGTGAGCCCTGGGGCTGAGAGCAGGCAGCACTGCGCTTGGGTCCTAACACCTAACCTGCACGTCGGTTTCTTCCCAGGAGATGGAACAGCCGAAGGATTTGGGAGGCCTTCCGGGGAGGGGGGCCACTGTAATGATGTGAAACTATAAAAGGCCAGGGAACCCGTTCTCTGCACACCCGGTGGGTTAGTCGGGGTTCTCCAGAGAAACAGAGCCACTAGGATGTAGGACGTGTGGGCACGCGTGCACACACACACACACACACACATACACATACACATGCCCACACGCTATATCCGTGTGCGCACACACGTACATAGGGAAAGAGATGTTACGGAATGGGCTTGCATGGTTGTGGAAGCTGGACTGTCCGCAATGGGCAGGGTAGGCTGACAGACTGGGGAGTGTTGCTGTTCGCGTCTGAAGGCACTTCCCGCCTCCTCATGGGAGGTCAGTCTTGGTGGGATGAGGCTGACCCATATTATGGAGGGTAATTACTCCATATTTACTCAAAGTCTGCTGGTTTAAATGTTTATCTCATCTCAAAACACCATCATAGAAACATCAAGAAGATTGTGTGCCCAAATATCTGGGTGCCGTGGCCTGGTCACGCGGCCACATAGAATCTGCTGTCACATCCAATGTGCACGCCCAGGAGCCTCACCAGAAAGCACTCAGAACACAGTGGAATCTGGCTTGATCTCCACTTAGGAGTCCCTGTTGCCAGAAGAAGCAGATGAAGCTGGTTCTACCCTGATGTCGTATAGCTCCTATAGCCACAGGCGTGGTCTGCACCGTTCCTGGGCTCCCAGAGCATGCAGGATGAGTGAGTGGCCTCCAGAACTCTCTAGAACCCACCAGAACTCTGCCCTGAACCCAAGGTGTGCTGAAAGTACCTAGTGTCATGGCACCTCTGGGGACAGATCCTGCCCGTCCTTTCTCGAAAGGCCCATGGCCTGGACTTCGGGCAGGCTGCACCCAGGACCCCTGAATAGGAACACAGGAGGGGCAGGTGTGTACCTCACAGCAGGCCAGCCACTTATACCAAACGACCCTGAAAGACTGACACAGGGCCACACTACGTTTAAAGACTTTATAATAATCAGAAACTCAAACCATCAAAATGCTCTGGGACAGCCCCTTGGAAATGTCCCGGAAGGGGGAGGCAGGTACAGCCTTGGCTGCTGGCATTAGTGCTTGGAAACTGCCCACCTCATTCACCCCCTCCAGTCCCAGCCCTTCCGTATCACAGATCTTCATCATCGAAGGTCTCCATGCACCTCAGCGTTATCATCTCGTCGTCAGTGGGGAGGTCTGCATCCTGCAAAACACAGGGTGCAAGAGGATCAAAGTGTATTTAAGGAATCCAGGCCCCAAGCAGGTGGGACAACCCCCAGCAACTTCCTCAGAGTCCACCCGAACTCTTGCTGTATCTTCTTCTCCAGCTTCCGGCCAGGAAGTAAGGGCTACGGGGTGGGTGGGCCCATTTCCATTTCATGCAACTCATAGATCACACTCTATGATCTTCAGAAAGGGTTTTCTTGGACACAACAGAACTGACTTCTTTTCCATCCCGGGCATTTGCAGGATCTCAGAAGACAGAGGGGAGACCTCTCAAAGCTTTATCCAAATGCCCATCCATGGAGGATGGTGAATTACACCACGGTGTGCCCACCAAGGGAATACCAGGACATTGTTTGAAATAACAGGAATGAGGTCGTTCTCTGTGCGATATACTATTTAAAAAGAAAAGAGGGGGCAAGTGCGTGGCTCAGTCGGTTGTGTCCAACTCGTGGTTTTGACTCAGGTCGTGATCTCAGGGTTGTGGGACCGAGCCCCCACCCCCCCTTGGGACTCTGCGCTCAGTGGGGAATCTGCCTGAGATTCTCCCTCTCCTGCTCGTGCTAAGTAAAATCTTAAAAAAAAAAAAAAGAACAACTACAAGATAATGTGTAGTGTAGGCTCTCATTCGTGTTGGAAAGAATATATAAATATCTGTAGATTATCTCTGGATGGCTGTTCAAGAAACCAGTAATGGTAATGGCCTTTGGGGAAGGGAATGGGGCGTAAGTGAGGGACACTGGTAGGAGAGAGACTAAGTTTTCTTTGTATATCTTTTGGTAACTTTCAAGTTTTAAACTATGTACGTGGGTTAATTATTAGCTAATTGCTTAAGAAGCAGCACTAGGTTATTTTATTCCCTTTATAATGACCCCCCGCTGACTTCTCTGACCCCCCATTACCTCTTCCCCTAACAGTGTGTTCCTGGGTTTGGTTCTCCCTGTCTTTCCCCACCTTGGCAGAAAAATGGTAGTTTGTCTTGGGCTAGTTCCCCTGGGCCCTGGGAAGCGTCCCCAAACCCAGGCAACCATCCCATGAACGTGAGACCCGGTCCCCAGGGTGACAGCCAGGTTGGGAGCAGACTCTGCAGACAAAGCCTCTCCAGCTCTGGGCAACGTCCCCACTCACTGTGCTCTACTGATGGAGGCGGGGGGCGCGTGGGGGGCCAGCGTATCTGAGAGGGGACCAGGTGGTCTCTGGGAAAATCACACGGGCCCCTGATTCAGGGTGAAGACCAGAGCAAAGCTTGAGAAAAGGTTGAGTGGAGCGCAGGGGGCACCAGGAGGCCAAGGGTCCTGGGAGGGACCATACCTGAGTCTCTGTTGCACCAAGTGCTTAAATGTTGTTCACAATGGTCCAGTTCCCCACGCCCCTGAAAATGGTGTCTGAGGCCTTTTTAGGCTGCAGATTTGGGAAAGCAACAGACTGTGAGAGGTACCTGCTGGTATTGGGTACTGAGGTATGTTGAATAGTATCCTTCCTACCCCACTTCATGACCACCTGGAACCTTCTTTGGAAATAGGGTCTTTGCAAGTGTAATTAGCTAGGATTACGAGATGAGGTCCACCTGGACTTAGGGTGGGCCCTTCATCCAAATGACCGGTGTCTTTATAAGAAGATGAGAGGGCTAGAGAGACACACAGAAGGCCTTGTGAAGACAGGGGGCCTTGGTTAGAGGGATTCAGCCGTGAGCCAAAGCATGCGGAGGACTGCCAGGAACCACCTGGAGCTAGGAAGAGGGAAGGAAAGACCTTCCCTCGAGCCTTCAGAGGCAGCGTTTGGCCTTTAGCCTCCAGAACTGTGAGGGAAGCAATTTTTGTTGTTTTAAGCCACGAGGTTTGCGGTAATTTGTTACAGGTGCTAATTAAAGTTTCATCCAACGACCTCATGAAGTTCACGGGAAGGAGCGGGGGGCGGAGGGGCGGGAAAGAGATTGAGATTTTCCTCTTTAGAGCAGCGCAGGCTGGAGGCCTCTTGCACCGGAGCCAACCTGGACAGCCAAATGGACAGCTCGTTCAAAATACAGATTCTTGGGGCCCCACCTCCAAACACTGAATGAGAATCTTGGGTGCTGGGGCATCAAGAATCTGCATTTCCAGTTAGTTCCCAAGACGATTCAAGTTCAAGCATCTCTGCTTTGTATGGATACTCCAATCCTGCCTGAGCTTTCTTTTCTACCATATGCGGGGAAAGGAAGCAGGGAAAGCAAAGACCATCCTGTTAATCTGTTCCCCAGGCCTCGAGGAAGTGGACTAACTTC